GCCATGTGTACCTACATCCATGTGTATCTATGGCCATGTACCTACAGCCATGTGTACCTACAGCTGAGTGCACCTACAGCTGAGTGCACCTACAGCCATGTGTACCTATAGCCGTGTGTATCTATGGCCATGTACCTACAGCCATGTGTGCCTGTGGCCACGTGTACCTATGGACGTTTGTGCCTGTAGCTTTGCTGCTGCCCTGGCAGAGGCTGCTCCTCGCTCCAGGACACGGTGACAGGCCCGGGGCACTGGTGTCACCTCGTCATTCCCTGCTGACAGGTCAGAGTGATGCTGATGGCTGCAGCGGGGGGGCCCGGCCGCCCCCCTCGGGAGGATGACAGCAGCCGTGCGCATGGAGTTAATGCCCTGGAAAACGGGCGCTGTGGAGCATGCAGAGCATCCCCGCGGAGCGGCGCGGGGCAGCAGAGCAGGGCAGCCCGGGCTAGGTGCACTCGAACCATCCCTATGGAACCCTATGGACGCGGTGTGTGGGGCTGAAATTCCACAGAGCTGGGTCCCAGCCCCACAGGGGTGACCTCCCACTGCCCTGCCAATTGTCCCCGTGTCGTGTGCTGCGGGGAGCTGAATCCCAGGTGTGTTTAGTGCTAACGAAGGGTCCAGCCACAGCTGCTGCCCAGGGAGTGTCAGTGGTTCTGTTGCGTCCATTCAGCATCAGTTTTAGCTCATCCCAAACCAGTGTTTGCTTCACAATTGCTCCAGCTGTGCCACAGAGGAGCCCGGTCTGTGGGGAAGGCAGCAGCCCTCCTGCATGCTGCCTCCCAGTACACCCCGTGATACCTGCAGGGAGGCCCCTGCCCTCCCCGCCAGCCCTGGTGCACAGCCCGGCTCTCCCGTGTGCTCATTCCCAATCCTTTAATGCTATTTGCACACCCTTGAGCATGCTTCTGCTTCTCTAAGAAGGCACCTTAGGGTCTGGATGCCCGATAGGAGTTACCTCAAGTGGGAGCAGGATTCTTGTCGGACCCAGGAGTTGTGGGGTTGTTCTTTTTCCTGGAGTGCACTGCCATAAAACACTGCTCGAGGCTGTTCCTAGGTGGGCTTTGGATGTTTGTTTTGAGCTGTGATAGCCTGAAGCGAGTATTTGTCTGTAGGGCATGTCATCTGTAGAGAGTCCAGAGGAGGCCATGGAGATGCTGCGAGGGCTGGAGCAGCTCTGCTCTGGAGCCAGGCTGAGAGAGCTGGGCTGGGGCAGCCTGGAGAAGAGAAGGCTCCTGAAGGGGAGACCTGAGAGCAGCTCCAGTGCCTGAAGGGGCTGCAGGAAAGCTGGAGAGGGGCTTGGGACAAGGGATGGAGGGACAGGCCAAGGGGAATGGCTTGAACCTGCCCGAGGGGAGGCTGAGATGAGCTCTTAGGCAGAAACTCTTCCCTGTGAGGGTGCTGAGGCGCTGGCACAGGGTGCCCAGAGAAGCTGTGGCTGCCCCATCCCTGGCAGTGTTCAAGGCCAGGTTGGACACAGGGGCTTGGAGCAAGCTGCTCCAGTGGAAGGGGTCCCTGCCCGTGGCAGGGGTTGGAGCTGGAGGAGCTTTAAGGTCCCTTCCAACACAAACCAGGCTGGGGTTCTGTGATAAAATGGTCTGAGATGCACAACTATCAGTGATGTGGGGTGTGCCACCGCAGCCAGCTGTCCTTGGTGGGTTTTCCTTCTTCCTTTCAGAACATTCACCTAAAGGAGCGGTCTGAAGCGGTTTCCTCAGTGGGCACCTGAGGGATGTGCCTTGGCCCTGTGTGTGCCCAGCAAGGACACGAGGTAGCCGGAGGGCACGTCCTGGCACCGCAGGGGCATCACCGCGGCCGTGGCCACCGGCGGGCGCAGGGACCCGCGGCTCTGCAGGGAGATGAATGGTTTCGCAGGCTGCCCTCCCGCCTGTCATTAGTCCTTGCTCTGGGAAGGCTTCGCAATTCCTACGTGGTAAATTATGTGCCATTCCTCAAAAAAGTGGGTTAAATAAATGGGCCTCGAGCATGCCTCGCTCTGCTCTGGGCTGTGCCGTATTGATCCGGACATATTTCCCTGCCGGCAGCAATCAATTCCTGCGCGGATGGGCAGGACAGAATCCTTTCAGGCAAACTTTGTCATTAATTCGCCTCTCGGCGGCGGTGGCTGGGGCCGGGCGCGGTGCGCTCCGCGGCTGCGGGCGGCATCTCCTGGGGCGGCCGGAGCGGGGGGTAATGAATGCGCCGTGTTTGCTCGTCCTCCCGGAGTCACTTATTACCGCTAATTGGGAGGGACAGTTCAAACAGGCGCACAGGAGCCTGGGCTGGGAGCGTGACATGGGTTTAAAGCAGCGCCCGGGGAGCCCCGCGCCGCCCGGCCCCGGCTGCGTCCTGCGCGGCTCCAGGGCCGCATCCTGCCCGTGCGGGACCCCCTTGGCGCCCGGGCCCCGGGAAGCCGGCAGGATGAGGCGTCTCAGACGGAGCCGCTCTGTGCGGGAGGAGCCGGGAGCCACCGGCCCAGGGACGGGGAGGGCACACGCGGGTGCAGGGATGTGATGAGCGTTAACGCGCTGGGCATCACCTGGGCCAGCTCCCTTAAAGAGCGCCTTGGGACTGCGGTCTGGCTGGTGCTGGGGAGGGCTCTGTGCCTTTGTGCCTCCACAGAACCACAGAACCAGAGTGGTTTGTGTTGAAGGGACCTTAAAGCTCCTCCAGCTCCAAGCCCTGCCACGGGCAGGGACCCCTTCCACTGGAGCAGCTTGCTCCAAGCCCCTGTGTCCAACCTGCCCTTGAACACTGCCAGGGATGGGGCAGCCACAGCTTCTCTGGGCACCCTGTGCCAGCGCCTCAGCACCCTCCCAGGGAAGAGCTTCTGCCTCAGAGCTCATCTCAGTCTCCCCTCGGGCAGGTTCAAGCCATTCCCCTTGGCCTTTCTTGTTCTTCTAGGGCTGCAGGTCAGGGCAGACAAGGCTCCCCCTGCCCTTCTGCAGGAACATCTCCCTGCCGAGCACAAACAGATCTCATCTTCCCGAGTTGCTTTCAAGTGTTCTCCTCCAAGCTCGTGTTCTTTCATTTATTGCTGCTTTCCCCAATTAAAACCCTTTGGATTAGTCCCCTGCAAGCCGAGTGCTTCTTGCAGCTGTTTAAATTCCATTTCTATGGCAGGATCGATCCATTCCACTCATTTTTAAGAGATTTTTATTTAATGTTACTTGGGAAAAATGGCTTAGCATAAATGTTGTAGACATAAGAGCAGGGGGCGGGGAGAGGATGGAGCTGAGGAGGCTTCCAGCATGCGGGAGGAAGGACTGAGAGGCTGGTGGAGGCAACTTGGTCCCCTGCTCGCCCTCAGTTTGGGAAATAGGGTCTGGTTTGTGTCACATTCCCAGTTTCCAGTTTGCCCCTTTTCCCTGCTCCTTAATACAAACCTGGGGGTTGCCAAGTGCAGACGAAAAGCTTGGGTGCTCTTCCAGTGAGTAATTCCTCTCCCTTTAAACACCCCCCAAACCTCCACGTCTCCTGTTTGTAATGCAGGAGACAGACACCATGTGCATCTGCAGCCGGTTTTAAGCAGGCGTTGGAGGCGTATTGTGCACACGTTGTCACTGAAGAGGATAAACCCCGGGACACAGCCTTCATCTGCAGCGCGAGCACCCACCGCGAGCGCGCCGGCAGAACACGCTCCATGTGTGGCTGGAATTCTAAGCGTGAGAGCCAGAACCACCGTCAAAGGCCGCTCTGATCCAGCAGCCAACAAGGGAAATTTCTTCTTTCGCATGTGTGGCGCTGATAAATCGAGTTTGTTTTGCAGCCTATTCTGTTTTACATTTCCTGTGTCATAACAGAATGAATTTGTTGTTCATTGATACCTTAATATATAGGTTGTTGGGAGGGTTCTTTTTTTTTCCCCCAAGGAGGAAAACAATGACCCCTTCACGCCGCATGAATGGGCCCATTTATCCTCCCTCTCCTCCGGAAGTCATTTATTTCTCCCCAAGACAGCTGCAGGGTCTGTTTGTGCAGGAGGCAAAGCCCCAGCCCTTCCTCATCCCCATCCCTGTGCCCAGTGCCCACACTCCCAGTGGTGCTGTTGGAAGGGTCTGGTATGGAACCGGTGCTCTGTGTGTCACTGGTGACCCTTTTGGAAGGGTCTGGTATGGAACCGGTGCTCTGTGTGTCACTGGTGACCCTTCTGGAAGGGTCCGGTATGGAACCAGTGCTCTGTGTGTCAGTGGTGACCCTTCTGGAAGGGTCTGGTATGGAACCGGGGCTCTGTGTGTCACTGGTGACCCTTCTGGAAGGGTCCGGTATGGAACCGGTGCTCTGGGTGTCACTGGTGACCCTTCTGGAAGGGTCTGGTATGGAACCGGTGCTCTGGGTGTCACTGGTGACCCTTTTGGAAGGGTCTGGTATGGAACCGGTGCTCTGGGTGTCACTGGTGACCCTTCTGGAGGGGTCTGGTATGGAACCGGTGCTCTGTGTGTCACTGGTGACCCTTCTGGAAGGGTCTGGTATGGAACCGGTGCTCTGGGTGTCACTGGTGACCCTTCTGGAAGGGTCTGGTATGGAACCGGTGCTCTGGGTGTCACTGGTGACCCTTCTGGAAGGGTCTGGTATGGAACCGGTGCTCTGGGTGTCAGTGGTGACTCTGCTCTGCTCGGTGAAACATCACTGATGCCCCCGACTGTTCACCTCAGTTCCTCTTCCTGTACCATGAACCAGTTCTGATCAACAGCACTTTAATGAATAGACATGCTTTCACAGATGATGCTCCTCGTTGTAACTTAGCAGTAACTAAGGTCCCTGTGGTGGGTCCCTGGGATATTTTCCCTTTATTAAAGAAGGAAGGGGATGACTCCCTGAGCAGACAGCAGTGTTGATCTGCTGTAGCCTAGGCCAAAAAAGCCTAGGACAACAAAGCCAGGAGCTCATGCCATGGGCTGTGCATTTGGTCAAAATCAACAACTAACATCTCCTGCCTCCCCCCAAAACTTCCAGACACCCCAAAGCAACTTCCTAAGAGGAATGCTGTGTTTTTGCAGGCTCGTGGGATGCCCAGTGGGTGATGCTCCGCAGCCATGTAAACAGGAGTGGGAGGAACTCATGTTCCCGTGTGTCGGATGCAGCAAGGCATCTTCTGGCCTCTTTAGAGATATCAGAAGCATCCCTCCTGTCACTCCAGCTTGTCAAGGTAAGAAATGCTAAAATAGACTTATTAAAGCATGGGAATGAAGAAGGAAACCCTCCACAGATGTGAGGCTGTCAGCTGCGGATCCATAGCTGGCAAAGTGCACGGTATCTGCTGGCTGGAGATGCCCCCCCGTGGCTCTCCCATCGGAGCAGCATGCTTCAGCGCGGGTTTAACTTCCCCTGAATCCCTGTGGAAGGGATGCGTATGCTAAGCATTGAGCTGAATCAAGACTTAATTCCCTCCGTGTAAAAGCCTGTAGATCACCCAGAGCCCAGTCAAACACTCCTCCTTTCCCACATTTCCCCTAGGCACCCAGAAGAAAACCCAGAAAACTGACAGATCTGGGGTTGTGTTGCCAAATTCCTAGGAAATCCATCTCCTGTTGTGTTTTCCTTCCTGTCCACCAGTCAGGGCACAGCACCACATCTCCCCCACCCCAGGCGGGGGCTGTGGACTCCTGCTGCTTTCAGGGACCAGAACAAGGATGCTCTTCTCCATGGGCAGAGCAGCCCCGTGGCATCATGGTCTGGGGCTGCATCCACCACCCTCTGTGGTCCAGGGGCACTGTCCACTACCCTTTGTGGTCCAGGGGCACTGTCCACTACCCTCTGTGGTCCAGGGGCACTGTCCACTACCCTTTGTGGTCCAGGGGCACTATCCAGTACCCTTTGTGGTTCAGGGATTCTTCCATCACCCTCTGTGGCCCAGCGGCTGCATCCACCATTCTCTGCAGTCCAGGGAATACATCCACCACCCTTTGTGGTCCAGGGGCACTATCCAGTACCCTTTGTGGTTCAGGGATTCTTCCATCACCCTCTGTGGTTCAGCGGCTGCATCCACCATTCTCTGCGGTCTAGGGAATACATCCAGCACCCTCTGTGGCTCGGGGAGGCCATGGCACCCTGGCTCTGGTGCTGGGTCTCCCTGGGTGAGAAGGTTGGAGGAACTCGATGGGCTGTGGCTCTTCATGCTCCGTCCCCGGGCTGTAGACGCAGCAGCGCTCACTGGCTGCACTAATCAGAAATAATGTGTGGCTTAATCAAACTTCTCCATTAAAAGGGTTTGGAAATAATATATAAAATGAATGGTTGGAGCATTGGGTCTCAAACGCCGGGGAGGGAGGGATAGAGGGGGAGCCCCGTGCACCCGCAGCCCTGCGCTGCTGAGCACCGAGGCTGGGAATTGGGTTTGATTTTTATTTAAAATTCAAATGTCTGATGTTCTTAAATTGAACAAATGATAGTTTAAAAAAATGTATCAGGCTGCAACATCTGCAGATTATGATTTGCATTTTGAAATTGGCTGCTTGAATTGAACAAGGATGAATACTGTCACTCTGCTTTTATTCGCTCAGTTTATTTAATGAAATGCTAGAGGTCAACCCTTTGTCCTTAAATTAGTTACTATAAAAATCTTTTTGTACTTTTCTGCTTGTTATGATGTCTTCTGAGCAGAAGAAAAGGTTGCCATTAATTATGTCTTTGTTGAATATGGATATCTATTCATAGTTAGTTAAACAGTTTCAAACAAAATTAGCATTGAGCAACTCTAAGGCCAGCTTTAGGTTGGTTATCAAGAATTTTTTGCTAAGAGAATGCTCTTCTGCGAGTGTGCATTATCTAATATATTCAGCTTTCAGTTGCTAATTTTTTTTCCAGATGAAGATGGGCTTAATTGAGGTTGTGCTTTTAAGTTTGTAGAGCTCTTCAGCATCTCATACAAAAGCATCTAGAGGCTTTTCATTTGTCTTGAGTATGTTTTAGATGTACAAATATTATTTACTTTAAACTCTAAATCAAAAGGCCCACTGTAACTATTTTAAATAAAACATTCTTCTCCGCTGAAATATATATAAATTCAAAGCGGGACTTTTTTCATTATCACTTCATTTATTTGAAAGAGCTGCTATTAGCAAATTTTAGGATAAGACTGAAATAGTGGCTCAGTAGCTGGTCTCCAACAGACGTTTAGCAGCGTAATTTGCCTGTCTCAGACAGGGGACGTGTGTTGGTGTTAAGACCGCTCCAGTTCCACGCCGAACCTTCGCTAAGTGTAGCTTGGAGTCGGCCTTGAGGGATTAAGCTGCGTCAGTTTTTAGGGCCGATAAAGGCCCGTTTTCCACTGGCCACCACGCGGGGCGGCTGCCGCTGCCCTGCAGGGCTTGCGTTGGGATGGGCCGTGCTCCAGGCTCTGTCACTGGTGCCACCCGCAGCAAGCGGGGCCACGGTGTCTTTTGGGGGGTGAGGAGGGGCTGGGGGGGACCCCGCACGCACCCACATTCCCATGGGATGGGGCGCCCGGGGCTCTGCCTGGATCGTGCCCAGGGACCTGGCACCACCCCGAGCTCCTACGGGAGCCCAGGACCGTTCATTAAGAGCCCTGCTAATGGGGAGCACCCCGCAGGGCACCCAGGCTGGCGGGCACCCGTGTTTTGGAGGGGCTGCATGGATGGGTTTGGTCACAGGCTGCAGCGCGCTGGGTATTTGGGAGCAGGGGGAGAGGGAATGGAGAGAGAAAGCAGGAAAAAAAGAAGATAATTAGGAAAAGTAATAAGGAAATGTAAAGGTGGCAGCGAGGATTAGTCCCAGTCATTGGAAATGCAAATGAACCCCGTGCTCGCTCCCAGCGTCTTTTTTCCAAGCTTGTGTTTCAGAAAGGATTTCTCTCCCGTGTTTTCCCCCCTCTCCCTCCTCCCCAGCGCTGCTTCCCCGGCAGCATTAAATATTCCCGAGACGAGGCTGTAACCTTGTAACGCTTTTAGGTATAATATACATATTTTCTCCATTTTAAATGCTAGCTCATAATGACATTGTGAAGTAGGGATCCCGAGTCAGCCTTATTATCATGGTGTCTCCTTGAGCTGAACCTCTGAGAAATGTGAAGGGGAGACCTTTTGGAATGAACAAATCCTTTAGCTGCCTATAATTATTTATTAAAATAGGCTACCGGGATAAAGGACGGGGAGGGGGAGGGAGGAGCAGAATTCCTTTCTCTGTACATCCCCCCGTGCAGCCACACGGATGTATAGACACATCCAGAGATCCAGGGAAGCGATTGCAGTGCCCGAGCCCCTGTTTCAGGAATCTAAAGCGCTGGGTGTGCAGAAAGGTGGGATAAAACACGGGCAGGTCCCAGGATGTCTGTGAGCCGAGGGGCAGCGCTGTGCCCTGGCCGCTGCGGGTGCATTCGCACCCTTCCCGCTGCGGGGGATCCATGTGGATGCGAGCCCGAGTCGGGAGGAGCAGAGCTCTGTACCTGCTCTCACCGCTCCCTGTGATAAGGGAAGTAAGCATGGGATCGATGTTATTCCCACTGTGTGTGTGAGTGGTGAAAGAGAATCCATCCTGCTCCAAGGGTGGAGGGGAAACCAAACTAAAACCCCACACAAACCACAAATCACCACAAACCCCAAAATCAAACCTGGTGGTGTTTATTTAATGAATCGCTTTGATTGCTGCGATTTGTCCAAGTTCATTTAACGAGGCAGAGCAGCCCGTGTTGCTTTGTGGTGCTGAGCACTGCGGAGGTTGCGAAACCCTCTCCAATCCTGGGAAATTTTATAAACTTAGCAGGTTATTAAGAGAAAAAAAATCTTTGGGGTCAACTTCCCACTTGTGCCTTTAGCTCTTGAGCAAGTACTTTTATGGTTTCTTCTAATATATAGGATTTATCTGCAGCTCCGTGAAGAGCTTTTAAATTTAATCCAGCGTTGAAGTAGTAATTTGTTGCTGGTGCTTTAGAACCGGCTTTTCTTTTAACTTCCCGGGCTGCGGGCTCTTTGTGCCGACTCCTCTGTGACACACAATGCCCGGCGCCGGCTCCCGCGGCTCCGGACCTCGCCGTGCTCCAGCACCGGGAACGGGAGAGAGGTGGCGAGTGCGGTGGGACCGGGATGGTAAGATGGGAATTGTCCGGGGGGGCCGGGGGGCTGCACCCGCCGTGATCCCTGTTGCATCCTCAGGCGGGCCGGGTCGCAGCGTTTCCCGTGCGCGCTCGGGGCTGTCGGCGTGCGGAGCGCACCGGGGCGCCGGCAGCTTCCCGGCGGGGTCTGACGGGTTTTCCAGCCCGCTCGCATCCTCATTGCTAAAATCCATTTGAAATTCCTCTTACACCGGCAGTGAAATTGTTGTGGTTCTTTTCCTCCCGTTGAGGCAGGGAATGGGCTTACTCCATATTTATTCCAGAGAAAGGGAAAAAATACAAACAATGAAAAAGAATCTTTTACCAACTGCTTATTGTAATTGAAATATACACAATTATTAAAATCCATTTTCAAGGAAAAATTTCACCATTCTGCCTTACAAATGCACATCTTCATTATGCAAAATAGCATTTTTGATCCCATGTGATTAATTAATGCTTTCTTATTAAAAATAGCGGGTTTGATCCCAGATGATAGGTGAATATTTTATTCCAGATACAAAAAACATCTTGGGGATCTATTTGGACATGGCACGAGCCTGTGAAGTGACATACACCAAATATGAAATAGCCTCCCATAAATAACCATACCAAAGGCAGGATATCAACACCGGGAGCAGCTCTGCCTCCCGCCTTTCTAAACTGGGCTGGAATTACCGGGGGCTTTCTGGGAGCTGTGGCTCAGGGAAGAGGTGTTGGTCTGTTTACAGGAGCTAGATCTGTGCTTTCTGTTTCAGGCTGGGGCAGGATGGGTCCCTGCCGTACTCTGGGTGTGTAAATGTGCCCCAGAGGCACAAGGAGCATCAGCCTCTTGCTTTTGCCACGGTGCTGCTAAAACCCTGCCCGGGGAGCTCCACGCTCCCGGATCTCGCTGGGTTCTTCTGCCTTTTTCCTGCCAAGCTCCTCTGATCGTTAATTACAGCCCAAATGAACCTTTGCAAAAGGAGGAACCGCAGATCAGAAAGGTTTGTGAGCAGCAACGCAGGTACAGCAGCATGTGGAGGTTTGCAGGGATGATTTAGTGAATGCGAGAACATATTTTGTGCTCCATTGTTTAGACTCAAGAAGGCATAAAATCTTTAACATCTATTTATCATGTAGCTATTTTAATGTAAACATTTGTCTATTTGGATGAAGTGTTTTCATTATTAAGCTAATTTCCACATGTTTCAGATAGACTGATGAGTTGGAAGCAGAGCACTTGCTGATGAGAAACGAAATTCGGCCTCGGCTCAGCCTGCTGTCAGATACATCTTCATTAGTTTTTGTCATTCACTGATGGCAAATGCTCTATAAATGAGATGACGATCAGGTCCGCCTTGATAACTTGCCTTATCTCATTAGTTTTCACATCAAAGTTAATCAGCAATGTGAATTGTAATTGCTGGAAGAGACAATGCAATAGATCACTCGGCCTTTTTTTTTTTCTCTATGGCATCTTGAAACATCAGCAGGCTGGTGTGAGTAGATAGGCTCAGAAAGAAAATGATGTGGCAAGCATAATAAGCAAGCTGCTCAGAATTAATGAGCTTACCCAATAAGAAAAGAATAACCAATCAATGCGAGTTGGGCAAATATAATTTAGGAATAATTGCTTGATTGGTTGTCTATAGCAGACTGATTTGACCACACACAAGGATTAAGAATTAAGATGTCAAGGCAAA